AATGCAAATCAAAACTACACTGAGATTTCATCTCTCACTAGTCAGAATAGCAGTCATAAGAATATAAATAATAATAAATGCTGGAGAAGATGTGGAGAAAAAGGAACATTTTTACATTATTGGTGAGATAGTAAATTAGTACAACCACTACGGAAATCAGTATGGAGGCTCCTCAAAAAATGGAATACCATATGACCCAGCTATACCACTTCCCAGTATTTATCCTGAAAAATTAAAAGTCATCTTACTACAGTGATACATGCATATTCATGTTTACAACAGCACAATTCACAATAGACAAACTATGGAACCAGGCTAGGTGTCCATCAACAGATGAATAAAGAAAATGTTATATATATACACACACACACATATATATATACACACACATATATATACACACACATATACATACACACATGACACACAAAGGAGTTATTCAGTCATAAAGCAACATGCATAATAAGTCAAAACTCACAAAGTTAAGGTTCATATGCTTTCTCTCATATGTGGAAGCTAGAGAGGAAAAAGGAAAACAAAGTAGGGGTGGATCTTCTAAAAATTCAAGGGAGATCAGTAGAAGAAAGGGGCCAAGGGACAGGAGGCAGGAAGGAGGGGGGAAATGCAGGCCAAATTCTATTGTTATATTTTATAGATGAACAAATAACAAATCCCATTGATACGTACAATGCAAAGATTTAAAATGTGGAAAAAAGAAAAAGAAAAAGAACACTCTCAGTGAGTATCTTGGTACAGGCCTTGGGAGCAACTTGGGAGACTAAGGCAAGAGGATCCCAAGTTCAAAGCCAACCTCAGCTACTTAGCAAGGCACTAACCAACTTAACCAAGACTTGTCTCCAAATAAAAAAGGGATGAGAAGATGGCTCAGTGGTTAAACACGCCTGGGTTCAATCCCCAGTACCAAAAAAAATTTTTTTCCAAAAAAAGGTAGGTCACTTTACATAGAAAGTTTCTGATGGAGAAAGCTAACTGAAAGTCAAAATATCAACCAATACAGAAAGCATTACAAATTCAGTAGAAAGCACAATGAATCTGGCTTCATTCTTCAAAATAATAAAGCTTAAAACAAAATTGAAAAAATATTCCACATCTCCTCTTCCAAATGACTCAATCAACAGAGTTCAATATGCATCAACAAAATTGGAGATCTAAAATCATAATGTCCACATTACTCCTTGTTTCAAAACTTTTCAAACTAACTACAGTATTCTAATATCTCCAATAAGACTTTCCTAATTAAAAGCTAAATACAAAGTAGTGACATAAGATGAACCCACAAATTCTTAAGTTAGTAACACAAGAATTATGCTAACATTTGCAATGTAATACATATGTTACTGTTAAGATTCAAACCCAGCCAGTCATGTTGGCATGGGCCTGTAATTCCAGCCACTCAGGAGGCTGAAGCAGGAGGATTGCAAGTTAGAGGACAGCCATAGCAACTTAGCAAGGCCTTATGCAACTCAGCGAGACCTTGTCTCAAAAATTACAAAGTGATGGGGATATGGCTCAGTGGGTAAGCACCCATGGGTTCAATCCAGTTCCAAAAAAGAAAAAAGATTCAAACCCAAGCAGACCCTCTGAGCAGATATTCTGATTAATTGACTACCAAGAGAGAAGTCAGACATATATGTCAAGTATCATTAACTTATTATAAATCTAGCTAGGCGCGGTGGCGCACACCTGTAATCCCAGCAGCTTGGGATCTGAAACAGGAGGACCAAAGTTCTAAGCCAGCCTCAGCAAAAAGCAAGGCGCTAAACAACTCAGTGTAGACTCAGTCTTTAAATAAAATACAAAAAATAGGGCTCAGTAGTCTAGTGGCCCTGAGATCAATCCCTGATGCCTCCCCCCAAAAACTAATAACTTATTATAAATCTCATAATATTCCAAATTTGTTTGCTTTTCCAAGATTTAACATTAGTTAGTCCTAAGTCTTTGAAATATTAGGACTCAAGAGCTGATCGTGTCATTAATTTATTTACAGCATATAAATGAAAACACTGCTTTTAATCACATTTTTCCAGCATATACAGAGAAATGGCAGATGATGTAGAACAATACAAATTTTGGTACAGTCCCACATAAAGAAAAGCTCTTTAAATAATCCAAAACTCAGAAAGGGCAGAGAGCTAAATCAGAAAATGTTAGAGGACCCTATGGTTTTCTTCTCTTCTATGTTTTCTCTTTGGGTGTTCTCACTTGTTTCATAATTTTGGGGGGATGTGGGGGTAGTTCTATCATTGAGTCACATCCTCAGCCCTTGTTTCTTTTGAGACAGGTTCTCACTAAATTGCCCTGGCTGACCTCAAATCTGCTATCCTTCTGCCTCAGTCTTCTAAGGTGCTAGTATTATTATAGGCAAAGATCACCTTGGCTGACAACTTCTTTTATAAGTTTTAAGCACTATTTAATACTATAAAAAATACAAATCAAGTAAAAAATACTAACATTTTTACAAAATGGAATGAATGTATACACACTTGCTTACAGGTGTACAAAATATACCTTTGGAAGACATGTAAGAAACAGCTAACATTGTTTGGATCCAAAGAAAACTGGATGATAGATAAAAGAAAGTGGAGAGAGATTTTTAATTCTATACCTAACTGAACATTTTAAATTTTGAATGCTAATAAAATTTTTAACCAAACCATACAGTATAGTACACCAACAGATAAATAATGATGACTCCTCATCTTCATCTTTCCCCACTAGAATTTAAATTCTATGAAGGCAGAGATTTTTGCCTAATTTTTCAATACTTTCTCCACATTACATGGTCCACATCTGGTGCTTGAAAAACATCTGCCAAAAAAAAAAAAAAAATGAAAGGAATCCTTAACCTTTCCACTAAATTCAACTTGTATACCCAATTGCCTACTTCTCACCTCTACCTGAAGAACTAGATCCTACTCAAATATGTCTAATCCAATTCCATTTCCACATAACCTGTTTCCCTCACCTCTTCCCCATCTAGTACATGGCATCACCATTCTCTAGCTGAAGTCAAAAACCCAGGAGACACCCCATTCCAACCAACTACACACATATCCAAACTATAACAAGTTCAATAAATATTTTTCGTCCCAAAACATATTTTCCAACCTGGTCACTCGTCTCAATGCTCCATGGCCACTTTTCTTCCTACAGGTGCCCTGATTTTCTTCTCCAATCTACAGTCAGATTTTAATTCAGACCATATACTCCCAGTTCTTTATTTAAAAAAAAAAAACTTTTCAGTGTACTTTAAGCGTAAAAGTCAAAACTGTTTTGAAAAATAAGACCCCATAAGACTTAGTCTCTAGCTATGATGTAAACTTCTCTCTCACCAGCATCTATCTACAATGAGTTGATTTTCAGTTTGCTGGACTCAAGTGTGATACCACCTCAGAGATCTTCCATTTACTGAACCCTCTGAAAGGAACACTCCTCCTCCAGAACTTACAAAGGCTAGAGTCTTCTCATTTTTCAAACATCAGATCAAAGGTCACCACAGAAAGGTATTTCCTGACCACAGTATCTGAAATAATCTTCTCTTCTCCCAACCACAACTCCTTATTTTATTCCATCACAGCACTTATTCTCTGGAATTATTTGTTTCCTATTCTCTCCCTCCCCAACTAGCACTGAAGCTGCAATTCTGTATCCCTAATGCCTGTGATATTTCTTGGCATGCAGACCAGGTGCTTAATAAATATGGGAAAACTGAAGGTCTACAACATTTAATTTAATGACAGGAAAGGGAAAGACATGAACAAACTATCTTCCTATCTATAAAACACTGAAAATCTCCAGAGAGAATGGAGTATTTCAGATGCTTTTGAACATCTAATATTCAAAAGGTAATGCATACAATAAAAATGTTCCCCCAACTCAAACAGCATCTGAAAAAACAGATCTCAGAGAACACAATGTATGGGGCTGGGATTGTAGCTTACGTTAGAGCACCTGCCTAGCATTTGTGAAGCACTGGGTTTGATTCTCAGCACCACATGAAAACAAATAAATAAAGATTAAATTCTTAAAAAAAAACACTATGTACAATTATTTCATCTGTGATCCTTTTGGAAAGGTCTTCCAAATACTGCATAAGGGCAAAAGAGGCAAATTATAACTAATTAGATCAGTTGTCAGGTCTTGGAAAAGTATGTGAGATTTTAAAGTGTAGGGAATAGAACAAAACGATTATTTCTCATACTTCACTACGAATATAAGTTTGTGACAGGTCTTATTCCAAGATTTTTCATATTCAAAGTCAAAGAGTTTAAAGAGAATGTTAATAGTTTACATCCTACTATCTTCAAATTTAAACTTCCAGGGCATTGCCATTCAACTGGTCATAGCAGTTCAAGGGAGAGAGAGAACTTAATAATAATAATAACAGTGTGCAATTCGGAGCTTTTATTTGCAAGCACATAATGGTAGGGAATGGTCCAGACTCCCTAGTGTGTAACCAAGTGCTGAAAGACAGTCTGAGGATCTTATTTCACCAAACCCTAAGTGTTGAGACAGGAGGTCTAGCATGCACGTAGAATACTCCTCCCCAAAGCTATCAATCTTCACTGTCTGCGAAAACAAAAGTGAAAATACTCGTGGTAAGGATGTATGAGATTGATGCCACCCCCACCTCAACACAGAGACCTCTGTATCCGTGTCGGCACGTAAATAAGCAGGAATACACGCACTCTCTCACCTTCCCTCCTTTGAAGGAAAAATGGAACCAAGGGAGGGGCGGCCAAGACCGGGTCGGCGAGGCCCGAGATCCAGTCCAAGGGATGGCCGGGCTTAAGGGTCAGTACTCTGGGGAGCCGAGGTCACTTACAGGACACCATCTTTCTTGATCTCCCCCTTTCATCCATCCCTCTCCCGTCGTCGCCCCCAACTCCTTTCCTCCGCCCCATCCCCTCCACCCATTAGCCGGGAAGGGAAGTTTCCAGGCGCCTGCAGCCCGGCTCCCCAACCCTCAGCGGGGTTACCTTCTGCAGAAGCAGGACAAGGGGCAGGGGGCAAGGGGAGGGGAGGCAACCCGAAGGAGTGAAGGACGAAGCCCCCGGCGAGGAAGGTGGGCGGCGGCGGTGGTGGCGGCTGTCAGCTCGCGTTCCCTGCTCACAGCGCTGCCATTACTGTGCGCCGAGGCCGCCTCCCCGGCCGGCCTCCGCCACCCGCCCTGGAGACGCGGGGGGTGGGGAGCAAAGCCCGGGGAGCCCGCGCGCCGACACTCACCTGCCTCCGCGAGGAAATACCTCAAAGCCCAAGGCCGCCGTCGCTCCGGGGCGGGGCAGGGACAGTAGGGAAGGGGAAGAGGGAGAAGGACAGGCCGATTACTAGATCTGTAAATCAAACGTCCTCCTGAGCAACCGGCTTTGCCCAACACACACCCTCTGATCGCCTTCTTCCGCTGCTTCCAAATCCCCCCTCAGAAAGCAATGGTAGAGTCCGCGTTACGGCAAGCGCGAGGAGCCCAGTTTTATGCAATTGCGAAGGCCACGGAAATCAATATGCAAAGTGCTTCCTCGAGGTGCTCACTAGTGAAGCAATCACAGTTCTCTGAGCTCAAGAGACACAATACCCGACAAGTTTTGTGACTTCTAGTAACTATTTGTCAAAACGGTGTTTTCAACATAAGTATTCCACCTCGAGGAGTTTCAGATCATCGCGAATATTCCAAAACCTCTTGCCACACGCCTCCGAAGTATATTGATTAAGCTACTTTTCCCTCTGGCAAACTACTTTTTTTTTTTTAGTGGGTTTTTAATCTATAGACAAAGTCTGCGACATAAGTGTATTTTCATTAACGAAACTTTCCCTCGCAGCTGCGATCGCTAACTCCGCACCTTCACCAATCCCCAACTCCATCCCCTTAAAGGGTAAGGTTGACAAACAGGGCGCGCTGCCCATCACCTCCTCATACACCCAGAACCACAAGGGAACACCTTTGTTCCTTAATTACCTTTCATATCGCCAAGATGTCAGTAGTCAAGGTTTGCTCTTCGTTTGTACATTCTGAGCAAATAATTTCCCTTCCCACCCTTTCTTCCAAACTGTGCCAATCCTTCAAATCCCATTTAAAAATCCTGTCGCTCCGGCTGCAGTGGCGCCTGTGTGTAATCCTAGCGACGCGGAAGGCGGAGACAGGAGGTCCACAAGTTCAAGGCCAGCTTGGGCACAGTGGGATAGACCCTGTCTCAATATTAAAATAAAAACGGCTGGGGGTGTATGTCAGGGCTCACCTAGCATGTGTGAGGCGTCCTGGGTTCAATCCTCAGTACCGCAACAAATAAGAAAATCCTGCCTCCTGACCTGACCAACCCCACCTATTTTTCTCCTCTTATTACTTGCTTCATAGCACTTGAAGTCTGTACTCTTCAATGCAATAAAAAGTTATGTTATACTAAATTAAGTAGTTTCCATTGTATCACCTTAATTTTATTAAATTTCAACACTTTCTCATATTTTGTGAAGAAATGGGAAGGACAAATGAAATTCTGCTGCATGCCAAAGCTGTCTTGAAGAAAAGCAATTGTGCTTGAGTTACCTGCTGAAATAGCTGCTTTTATAGAATATCATTCTGCCTGAAAGAACGATTGACAAACCAATGTTATTCCAACTTGGGAATTCACAAATATTTTCCCCCAAATGAACTAAGTGAGTTAACACTTCAAGCAAACACTTGGCAGTACTTGTTGCCAATGATAAAATTTAGCTTTCAAGTGGAATTTGAAAATTGGAAAAATGTATGTTCACCACCATGAGCTGGACAGTTTCCCAAGACTTCAAAGACAGAGCTGAAAACAAATATGACCTTTTGATATTATATGATGAAATATGTCAACATATGGAAGATCCATATAACAGTGAACCATCATTTTCCAAATGACTTTCCAAATGACCAAGGCCGGATATTACAAAATCATGTATCAATAAAAGATTCATTCAAGCCAGGCACAGTGGCACACACCTGTAATATAGCAACTCAAAAAGCTGAGGCAAGAAGATCAAAAGTTTCAGGCAATTTAGCAAGACCTTGTGTGAAATGAAAAATAAAAGGACAGGGGATGTGGCTCAGTGGTAAAACATCCCTGAGTTTAATCCTCAGTACTGCAAAAAGCAAAAGAAAACAAAATACAAGATAGATGAATGGATGGATATTCACAGTCTACTTGTTTGTATGATAATATGTGCATACATATAAAAAAAAAGTACAAAAAGTCTTACCCAGGACTATCCAAAAAGATAATTAATGCTCCTTCTAAGGCCTGAGTTTCATGATATAATTCAACCATATAGAATCTAGCTGTATTCTAAGTTAAATAATAAGAGATTTGAAAAAAAAATGTAAAAAACAATGTCATTCTTTTCAGAAAACTGTATTTTGGAAAATACAGTTTCTTTTCATAAAAATATGCAAGTTATGTCAAAATGTTTTGAGTATTTTAAAATTAAACCAATAAGTATATTTTAATTCTTAATATAGTAACTATGGATATATATAACCCCTGCATACCTAAATTCTTTGAGGTCCTCAATAATTTTTAATCATTGAAGTGGGTTGCAGACTAAGTTTTAAGAACCATTGCTCTTATAAGAAATGCTCCCGATTCTATCATGTTCCTCTTGAATTCTGATTAGAATGGGGACTAGTGTGAATTGTCCCAAATATGAATCACTACAACATCCTTATATTTCTAAACTCCAGAGACCTCCTACTCTATAGCTATCAACCTATATAATGAGGAAACTTCATCTCTAAAATGACTTACTAAATCCCAATTACTTAATATTATATTAGAATTACTTCTTCATTCCAATAAAAAATGTCTTCTTTCTGATCAACCATTCAGACCCCATTTTTAGCTATAATTGAACTTTACCCACCCCCTCAATCTTAATTCATCTGTGAATTTTTTTTCTTGTTTTACTTCTTAAGAAACATTACATTTAAAAATGTTTTGGGGGGAGCTGGGTATGGTGACACATGCCTATAATTCCAATCTCTCAGAAGCCAAGGCAGGAGGATCCCAAGTTCAAAACAACCATCCGCAATTTGGTGTAGCCCTAAGCAATTTATCGAGACTCTGTCTCAAAATAAAAAACTGAGGGACTGGGATTGTGGCTCAGCGATAGAGCACTCACCTAGCACATTCTAGGCACCACAGAAAAAATAAATAAAGATATTGTGTCCAACTAAGAAATAAATAATTAAAATAAATAAATAATAGAAAAGTCTAGGGATGTGGTCCAATGGTTAAGTGCCCCTGAGTTCAATCCCAGGCATTTAATCTCTATTTAAAAAATTAATAGAGGTCTGGGGTTGTGGCTCAGTGGTAGAGCATTTGCCTCACATGCATGTGGCACTAGGTTTGATCCTAAGCACCACATAAATAAATAAAACAAAGGTATTGTGTCTATCTACAACTAAACATTTTTTAAAAAAATAATAGAGATGTATTTGGGGGCTTGGGACATAGTTCAATGGTAGAGTGCTTGCCTAGCATGCAAAAGGCCCTGAGTTCAATCCATGGCACCACCAAAAAAAAAAGTATTTTAGTCTTGTCTAAAGTTTATTGAGTTTTTCTATAACTTATTCTGATTTCTGTTTTTTTT